GAAGGGTAACCAACTGATCCACTACTAATCAAGCAATGTGGATACTGGCTATTGTTCTGTGAGGTGACTGGGAGTTATCTTTAAAGAGCTGATAAGTCAAAGCTACAACCCTGGATGCCCAAGTGTGGGACATCCTTTGCTAATCTTAGCCCCTTGGAGACAGTAGGATAGTCCTACACTGGAGAACTGAGGTGATCTGCATGGTAACAGTTGCATGGTGGATCACTGCAGAGTAGGCAGCTTCATCTGTCAGACTTGGGAGGACGAGTTTTCAACAATAACACCATTTGGCAACTAGAAGCAACCTGTCAATAGTTGACATTCATTATGCATTTACTATGATGCACTGTTCTTAGCTCTTATGTGAATTAACTTATTTAATTCTCACTATACATTCGACAGGTAAAGCTCTGAAGCCAAGAGAGGTAGAAAATTACTCAATCTAGAAAGTGATAGAACTAGAATTCAAACCCAGGCAGTCTTGCTCTGGAGACTACATTATTAGGCACTATGTGTGTTGCAGATATAAATGATCTCTCCAGTAGGGAAGAGAAGGGAGACAGATATCCTTTTGTACTATGTGAACCTCCAAGATTTTGAATAATTCAGAGGGAAACTGGGAGCTCTGTGAAGGAGATTTCTTGCTTTTGTATCACATGGAATGTGACCATATTGATAATGATATTATTAAAATTTCTAAGTAATTTTCTACATATGCTTTATTTTCCCAGTTAGATGTTAACTTCCTTGAGGAAATGGACTGCTACTAATTTGTTTTATACCCCTACCTGCCCTACCCCCACACTTTATAATACTCTGTAAAGAATTATTCTTATAGGAGATCATTGGCAAGGGTTCTGGGACAGAAGAATAAGACTGGGTCTAAAAAATTAGAAATAGACAAATACAGAATAAAACCAAAAAACTCATTATTTATTTAGGCTTCTGGTGATTGAAGCCTTCAGTTTCACTACTGCTAAGAAATCATTCATAAAGGAAATACTTTTAGTATAGTTTACAAATTACCCTCATGAGAAAAAACTTAAGTGGGCAGTACACATTCTGTCTCTTTTGTGAGTAAAGATGACCAAATGTAAGATGACAGTGGCTATTTGTCAATGCGAATCTATTCAGAATAGAGACCTACCAGTGAAAGATTAGAACATTAATTTCCATGTGCCTTGAACTCTTCTGTCTCTTGGGAACATATCTGCTGACATAGGACTTGATACCAAGGCCACCTGAAATAGTTCCTTATAAAATGACAGGGAAAAAACCTATTATCCCTGCTCTTTCTGTGTACCAAAAGTTAATGCCCTCAACTACCAATATATCCAGAGAAATGTAGGGTTTTGTGAGAATTTTCCAAAAGAATAACCAAGGTCAGTGGCAGAGCAAAAAATCAAACATGATCATCTTTCCCAAAGAGGTGACAGAAATTAAAAATGGGTACTTTATTTTTCAGAATGAATTTTTTTAAGGAAAAAGTAAAAAAAAAAAAAAATGACCATTGCTTTACTATAGATGTTCAGAGAAAGCAGCAAATGTCACCATGCTCTAAAAAAGAGAATTGGGGGCGCCTGGGTGGCTCAGTCGTTAAGCATCTGCCTTTGGCTCAGGTCATGATCCCAGGGTCCTGGGATCGAGCCCTGCATGGGGCTCCCTCCTCTGCGGGAAACCTGCTTCTCCTTCTCCCACTCCCCCTACTTGCGTTCCTTCTCTTGCTGTCTCTCTCTCTCTCTCTCTGTCAAATAAATAAATAAAATCTTTAAAAAATAAATAAATAAAAATTTTAAAAAAGAGAAAAGAAAATTGTTTGAGCTTTTTATAGTACCTTATTATTTTCTCATCACAAAAATTATACTTAATTTTGAAAAGCATAAATCTTTCATATTTGTATAATGTGAAAAAATAAACTACCTGAAGCCTCATTATGCATTGATAACAGCATTAATATATAATTCCAGATTTTTTTCCCAATTCATTTAGATCTAGAACTACATACACAGTTGAGCTCTCTGTATAGATCATGGAAGTGACATCATACCTTACATATTTTATTACATGTTTTCCTATATAAGGCTAGGTAGTGAAACCTTTCTCCATTGTGGCAGAAAAGGCTCATGAAGTTCCAAAGATCAGAGCTCCTTTTCCCAGTGTAGAGTTGTTGGGAAGCAGTTTTCCAGCCAGGGATTTCTCAGTTCCTTTGCAGCTATGTAGGCCACATCACTAGTTTTGGTGAAATGGAACAGGAGCTGAAGCGATTTGCCAAATCTGGGCTAAGGAGGTTAAGTACCCACATGCCTTTTGTACCCTCTCATTCCCTTTCAGGTTTCACTTGGAAGCCTTGCTTATACTTCTTCCATTGCCATGAGCAAAATATGACCTCTAAATAGCCTGCTGGTCCCAGGAGGAGAATAAAGGATACATAGAGTAGAGCCACCCCAGCTTCCCCATAATGTGAATCTGCACAATGAAGCAGAGCTGCTTCAATGACCTGTAAACTTATGATTGAGAAATAAATGGTTATTATTATATTGCATTAAGTATGCTTCACAGAAGCTGATGTGCCTGAAATACATACAATTGAGTCTAGAAAGAAAGATGTGTCTCAAAAAGAACTGTGGATGTGATTTTTGACAAATGGCCTTTTTGGAATCAAAAACATAGATCTTGGAGAAAGTTGTATTGGCAAAATAACCTCAGCCTGAATTAAAAGGGACTAAGACTATGTGAGATGCAAAAGTCACCTCTCAACTTTCTGTAGGCAGGAAGCAGACTGAGAAAGCGACTCAGGATTCAAGAATGGTGTGTTCTCCAATGTCCTTTTGAGAAGTGGCCAAGAAAGAGAATGTAAAAGAAAAGATCTCAACCTCATCCACAGAGGGCTTTGTCAACAGTTTTCAAGACTAACAGACTAGGCAGAAACTTCCAGGAATTGGGATTTAGGCCAAATCAAGCAACACCTTCCCTCAGAAGGACATGGCAATACACCTATATGGGCTTTCAAGAATTGCTAATGGACTGTTGATTGCCATGTGCCTCATAAGTCTCCCTTTTTCCCAATGGGACCATTTATTGTGGTTATACAGTCCTTGTTCCATTAGTATATTTTGGATGAGATAAGAGAGATAATCTGTCTGTTTAGATCATGGGTCTGAATCAAGAGGAGGCACATGTAGACCTGTTGTAGATCATGAGATCCTGGACTTGGAGTTTAATGTTATCAATGGATGAGATTTGGGTGGGGTGCAAGTATTACTTGTATATGAGAGGAATATGAATATTTGTAAACAAAATAAGGAGGACTGTCATATATTAGATTATTGTTTAAAATGATTCACTTTTTTCCCCTTATCTTTACCTTTCCATATGAGTACTCTGCACTTAAACCTTGGGCTTGGCCATATGACTTGTTTTGGCAAGTGATCTGTTAGCAGGCATGGTGCAAGCCAATGCTTAAAATATGCTTGAGTTGTAGCTCTTGCCTTTTGGGCTTCAGCCATTATCATGAAAAGGACAAGCGCCCAATAATCCCACTGATCTCAGGAGAAGAATAAGAGATATATAGAGGAGAAACACTCCAATGATGGCTACCTGAAACAAAGCTACCACAGGTCACCAACAAAACTGAGCAAGAAATAAAGGCTTATTTTTTCATTTCATGTTAGTTTGAGGTTGTTCTATGAAATACCTGAAATGCTTTGTCTCTTACCCTTTTGCTAAAATGCCACCTTCTTAGTGACTGACTTACCCTAATTAAAATAACAGTCAATACACCCTATCCCTCTTCTCTGGTATATTTTTCTCCATAGTACTTGCCATCTTCCAATATTCCGTATGATTCACTCATTTGGGGGGTTTATCATCTGTCTTCCTCAACTAGAATATAAGCTTCATGAGGTAGAAATTTTTTGCCTGTTTTTTTACTGCTGTATCCTCAACAACGAGAACATTGCCTGGCACACAGTAGGTATTCAATAATTTTTATTAAATGAATGAATGAATTAATATATATATATAGAAAAATATCAAAAAGAAGTGCAGAAAAAATTAATAGTGGTTATCTCCAGTTTCTGTGAATATGGCTGATTTTTCTTTATATTTTCTGTATTTTTCAAATTATTCAAAATAAGTATATGGGATTTATTTAATAAAAATAAAACAACTTTTAAAAATTATTTTGACTAGACATAGACATTGCAGGGGTGTTTTTTTCCTGCTTATTTTAATATTGTTGAGATTGTCCATTTATCAGTAATCATAATTTTGTCCTAGCATAGGATCTGTAGGCAGAAGATGGTTCAAAACAGAAGGGAAGTGGGTCAAGAAGAGAAAGTGGAGTAACTGAGAGTTGAGAATTGAGTCTGGGTATAACAACCAGAATCTAGGGGCAGACTGGGTATAAGTGAGACTCACAACCCAGACATCTGTTCCATGTTTCTGTACGAATCTGAGCAACATTCATTTTTTTTTTAGACTTTATTTATTTATTTGAGAGAGAGAGAACACAAGTGGGGTGGAGGGGCAGAGGGAGAGAGAGAGAGAGAAGCAGACTTCCCGCTGAGCAGAAAGCCTGATGTGGGGCTCAATCCCAGGACCTGGGATCATGACCTGAGCAGAAGTCAAACACTTAACCAATTGAGCCACCCAGGTGCCCCTAAATTTCATTTTTTAAAAATCATCCTTTCTTTCATGTTAAAGAGTTGCCAGTTATATCCATTTCTAGTTATTTTTGAACTTTAAGACAAATTCAAGTTATGCCTCTTTTAAGACATTTTAATGAATTATTTTATTATACCTATACAATTATGATACAGGTACATTAAAGAGTCTAATAAATAAACCCTGGTTAAGAAATGTCATTATTCTATTCTATAGGGTACAGTCAGTATGCTGATACAATCATAGCAGTAACCATACTAGTAGGATGGTTTGGTATTATTAAACTCCTTTCAGAGGAGCTGGATTAATTGCATAAAGTTTCTTCTCCTAGACTGGAGATAGCTTCAAGACTAAGATGACCATGAAAAAAAGAAGACACTGACTATGCAGAATGAGAGCCATTGGATGATGTATTTTCTCCATTCACCTACCCTCTTTTTTCCCTCCTTCTTCACCTCATTTGGAAGACTAGAGAGGCTGAGCAGTAAATTCTGAGTCCCAGTGCCAGGTAAGTTTTTCTAAGAAAGTGTTTTATCTTGCTTGATAGAAGTTTCTTGTGATTCACAGGGTATACCAGGACTATGGTTAAAAGTAGTATCATAGGAGTTAAGAACATGGGGACTTGGAGTAAGATGAATGTGATTTGAATTTCAGCTCTACTACTTACTAGCAGTATTGCCTTATCAAGTAATTAACTTTCCTGAACCTCACTTTTATCATCTGTAAGTGGAAAAAAACAAACAAACTAAGGATTAAATGAGATGTCTTTTCTAAAGTACTCAGTATTGGATCATCATTGAATGTTTAACAGATTCAGCTGGTATTATTCTGTTGCTACTACCACTATTATACTATTACTACTACTTTTATATGCTTATATTTTTCTATTACTATTTTACTACTATTATAATTTTCATAATTCATACCTGTTTAGTTAACCAGTAGGAAGGCTGGCATGCTGGCCTTCTGGAAAATGAAGAGAGGGAGAACTTGCAAAAAATCATTAAAAACTAATATGCCTAAGGTTTTCAGCTTTCCACTAACTCATGGCTGTTGATTGCATTGTCATTTTGAAATTTAGTGTCAGAGCATTACTATATGTATACTACAGTGTCATAAAATTTGGTGCATCTTGAACTTAAATGATGCTACACTAGCTTAAGCTATTCTCTGACTGTTGTAGCAGGCAGTACCATTCCTGAATCCCAACTATGGTGATCAAATCTATAGATTTAATTGTTTCATGAAAAAAACAAAAAACAAATTCTAGAGCACCACTAGGGTAGAGGATTGAGAAATTTCTCCTGATAAGCATGTAAAAAATAAAATTCAGTGGATGGGCAGCAGAGGGTTATGAAACACCACAATAGACCGTGAAAAAATAATATCAGGGGAAAAGCTAACCCATTCATGTGACACATTTGCTTTTTATCAAGATTTCCTCCGATTAAATGTATGGTGATGATTATTGTAAACATCCATGTGATATTGAAACAGCTGTTGGCGTCCTAAAGGAATCAGCATCACTCCCTCCACGCTGGACCTTTACTGCCCTACTGTTTTGTTTTTGAATCTAGCCTCCTTACATTAATAGCTCAAAACCTTGGGCGTGTTAAAAATAGATTGTAAGAGAATTGAAAGCAGTGTTTTCCTCCTCCCTCCCACTCCTTTTCTTGAGTGTAAAAAATGGCACTCCTCAGAAACAGTCCACGGAAATCAGGATTTTCTCAGTGGCTTGTGTGGGAAATGTAGACTATTGTGAGCAAGTATTGCAGCCCACTGCTTGTCAGGAAGTCGTTTTTAGAACAGTTAACCGAACAAACACCTTCCATTGTCTACAGAGGTTGAAAGTCCAATGAAATCTCCTTATTTCTATTCCTAAACCAACTTGGTGATACTTAATACATTTAACCCTTTTTATTCTAGAGTCTCAGGTTTATTGAAGACTTTTTCTCTCAGTGATTCTTAACCTTTTTCAGTTCCTGGACTCCTTTGAGAATCCCGTGGGACAGTAAACTCATGTGTTCATTTTGCAGGGGGTCTTCATTCTTTCCCCTGTTCCCACCCCTCATGTTGAGTTGTTCTGTAGCTGATCTGAGTAATTAGTGATCAAGGGAAGCTCTAAAGAGAAAGTGAGACTCTCCCTTCTCCCATGGTAGCCCATGGCATATTTCTAATTTTTCTTTGCAAATTTACTTTTTAAAAAAGGGGCTGAGCTCTACTGGCAATACTTTTAAAAGCTATTAATCACTTTTGTAGTCTTATATATTAAAGTGATAATTTAGAGGCTTAATTTTTCCTCCCTGTAATAAAACCAAAAAATTAACGTAAGTATGTATACAAAGGAGTTGGACCAAGAGGGCAGAGAAGGAATAGGCTATGTTTAACCTGGGCATGACTTTTATTGCACTCTCTAAATATTTGAAGGGCCTTTGTGGAGATGTAACAGCCACAAAATTATCATAATTAATCCTGCTTCAGAGGAATTTGCAAAAGAAGGTTCTTTTCATTTTTAAGCATGATTTGGTTAAACTTAAGATCCTACGATTTAGTGTTCAACAATGGATGTTAAGGAGTTTGACTGTCGTGGGCATATTCAAGAGAAGGCTACTGCACTATCTGATGGGAGGGAGTATTGTAGAAAGCATTTCTGTTCTCTTTGGCTAGATAACATCTACCACACCTTTGCACTAGAAATTCAACAAGTATACCAAGAATTTATTTGGTCCATAGGAAGAAAACTTTTTTTCTTTTTAAAGATCTATTTATTTATTTGACAGAGACAGACACAGCTAGAGAGGGAACACAAGCAGGGGCAGTGGGAGAGGGAGAAGCAGGCTTTCCACCAAGTGGGGAACTCAATGCGGGGCTCAATTCCAGGACCCTGGGATCATGACCTGAGCCAAAGGCAGACACTTAATGACTGAGCCATCCAGGCACGCTAGGAAGAAAACTTTTAAGATGTCTTTCCTTTCATGTTCTTTTTCTCTGTGGGTACACCCAAGAGAATAGTTTTAATTTGTGCTGAAATAGAGTCCTGGCTTTCCAAAATCATTCATTTTCTGTGTGGTCTTAGATATCTGTGATGCTATTCCATGAGAACTATGGCCTCTTTTCCAATATCTTGAACGTAACTAAATGTCCTATTTAATAACCCACTGGGAATTGATTGCCATCATTTAGGTAGAATGAAACCACAGTCTGACCTTCAAGGAAAGAGTGCATTTGAATTAACTGTCTTATCAAGAATTTTCTTTCATTTTTTTTTCTCAAGCATTTTCATTAACTACTACCTGAGAGTTTACACTTAAAATTTTCCTTTTCTCAGCTAAGACCATATCATCTATTGTTATCTGCGTTGAATGTGTAAGCTGTGAATTGCCAGATTGAGGAAAGTGTGATGGCATTTAACATCGAAGATTATTTTTCAAATGGACTCCTCTTGAGGAGCCTTAGAACCTCTACATGATCTGGAATGCCTAACGCTGAAACTTTCTGACAGCCCTAACTTTGGTATGTGTATTAGTCAGCTCGGGTTGCCATAACAAAATCCTATAGACCAGGTGGTTTAAACAAAAGATGTTTGTCTTCTTACAGTTCAGGAGGCTAGAAGTCTGAGATCAGGGTGTCAGCATGCTCAGGTTCTGGTGAGAGCTCTCTTCCTGGCCTGCAGGTGTCCCCCTTCTCACTGTGCCTTCCCACTGCCTTTTCTTGGAACATGTGTGTGTAGGGAGAAAGAAAATTTTCCTCTTCTTATATCTTCAATCCTATCAGATTAGGACTTTAGCTTTATGACTTCTTTTAACCTTAATCATCTCCTAAAAGCCCATCTCCAAGTACAGTCACAATGGGGGCTGGGGCTTTGACATAGAAATTTGGGGAAGACACACTTCAGTACATAGCAGTATAGCATATGTCCATTCTAGACCCTGCACAAACTTTTGGACACATGTCGATGAAAGAATGGGAAAGAATTTCTTTATAACACGATCTTACCTGTAATCTACTCGTGTGACATGGACTACAACGACATCAAATATCCAATACAATTAAGAGAGTTAAAAATGTGGGTGTGTGTGTATGTGTGAAAGAGAGAGAGAAAAGATAATTAAGGCAATAAGCATTTTTAAACTATTTGCTAAGTACAATGTGTAGCCAGGTATGATGATAGATATATCTTCACTTGATCTTAGCCAAAAGGCTGAGAAGCTATGATAGATGTATTTTCCCTCCCCTATAATAACAAACAAACAAACAAATACCAGGAAGGCATTGACTTTGCCCTCAGGGGTTTGGAATTTAATTGTGGAGCTAAGAACTAAAAACCATCCAGATGAAAAGTACATTAAAAAGACAAGCTCGTACGTGTTAAGCACTGAGTAATTGAATCAGAAAAGGAGTGCAGTTAATGTTCAGAGGATCATCATGGTGTGGGAAAACAAGGGAAGATTCTGATCACCCAGGAAGGTAGGACATAGGATGAACTGGGGCGGGAAGGAAGCTTAGGATTTGAGGGGGAATCAGAGTTTTTTTAGAAGAGGTAATGGCTGCTCATTTACGGAAAAGTGTGGGGGGAAGGGCAAATATATAGAGCAGAGGGCACAGAGGTAAAAAAGAGCACACTCAGTGTGTGTGGGAAACCACAAGCAGTTACTATGGCTGGAGGTGGAGGGCCAGGCACAGGGTGGAGAGAGAAGAGATAAACTAGCTGCTCAGAGGTCATATCACTAAGGACTGTGTGGGCCATACTTTTACTCTTCAGACCGCAGGTTTTCAACACAGCCTCTTTCTGTTATCCCTTGTAGTTTAGACGGGTCTTCCTGTCACAGGGATTATAGAACAACCTTCTCTTCTAGCCTTGTGCCTGTCTCATCTACCCTCTATCCTGCACCAGAGAGCTTTCTAAAAGTGAGGTCTGATCATATTGTTCCTCTGCTTCAGTCCCTGGAATAACCTACACTCCCGAGGCCCTGCTTACCGATTCACCTTCCACTCTTGCCAGGTTTTCCCCATTGTACTCAGCTTTACGTCCTAGTCATAATGAAAGGCTTGTAATTTTGTTTTGTCCAACCCTTTGTTATGTTGCCACCACTGCCTGGAATGGCCTCCATACCTACCTCCTTTTAAGCCCTAGCTGAAGGATCACCCCCTCCATGATGGCATTCCCAACCTCCTTTGCCCCCAAGTGGATATGGCCACATTCTTCTTTATGCCTAATTGTATCCATAGATATAAATCCTATGATTGTAGTTTAGTAAGGGGTTGGATACGAGAGATGTTAAGAATTTCAAACCAACAAGATGCAGTCAGACAATAGAGGTGGGTGGAGGAAGGGTTTGGAGTCTGGGATGACTCCTGGGTTTCTATGAGGTGTGGCATGTTGTATGTCATAGAGAATACAGGAGCAGAAGGGTTTGGAGAGAGAAAGACAATGAGTTCCATTTTGGTGAAGTTAAGTTGGTGCTGCCTGTGGAGATCCAGGTTGAGGTGAGCTGTAGATTGTCAGATATATGAGCTTGGAATGCAGGAAAAAGATCTGGAGATACATATTTGGGAATCAAGACATAGGCAGCAGATAAATCTTTTTCTTTTTTTAAGATTTTATTTATTTATTTATTTATTTATTTATTTGAGAAAGAGAGCAAGCAATCACACAAGCAGTTTGAGCAGCAGGCAGAGGGAGAGGGAGAGGGAGAACGAGACTCCTCGCTGAGCAGGGAGCCCGACATGGGGCTCAATCCCAGGACCCTGAAACCATGACCTGAGCCAAAGGCAGATGCTTAACTGACTGAGCCACCCAGGCACCCCAGGAAGCAGGTGAATCTTTAGGAATGAATGAGATTATTTAAGGTGAGACTGTAGTGTGAAAGGGAAAGAGAGAGGTGGATGTAGGTGATTGAGAAAGAAGGTGGGGTGGAAAATTGCCCCATATCATCCCTGTACCACTTCCCCCCACCATTTTGGTCCCTGGGACCACAAAGATAACCGTGCAACTTGATAAAAGCTCTGTAAACAGAAAAGCTTTGTTTGCTATTCAGGGCCTCAGGCCACTCTAAGATACAGTAAAATGTTGAGTCTTATAAACTTCCCTGTGATCTATCCTGACAAGGACAATGGGGAAATCTCTCTAACCTCATCATTGTGATTGTGGGTAATACCAGTACAGTTTTAATTCAATATTTAGAAAAAAATTAGTTCTATTAAAATAGGACTTTGAGTTTTGGAGTATTTCTGGTTATTAAAATTTGACTCCCTAAATAATTTAGAAACTTTAGAAGCAGGAATATATCTGAATGTTATTCTTAGACATAACAATACTTTCCCCCCAGAAATTTCTTTTTTCAGGTTAATATGTAAACAAACACAGTACATTTTACAGCAAGAGAAAAATAAGTGTGGACATATTATTCAAAAGAATCTCTGTTTTCTTTACCAAGAAGAAAGAAATACCTTTTTAGTCACAGAAAAAGAGAGACTAAGGAACGCATGCTCATAATGTGTCCATGAAGTGGTTTCATCGTGTGATAAATGAAGGTGAATGGAGAATTCCCTTGAGTCAAGTGTGTGGTAAGTTAAATCTCGCGAGTTCTCTGTGATGGCTGCCACATGATTCGGGGCAGGCATTTCTTCGTGTTAACATTTTTCATGCTCCCTCACACTTATTCAAACACTGCCGAACATCCTTACCGGCATAAGAGGGGTTTTTAGCTTTCTAGAGTACTATATTTCACTCAGTACTGATCAATATAAATGGTGCCATTTTCCGCATGGGAGATGTGAAAGCTGATCTTCGTTGTCTCAGGCACTGGGTAGGAGCCTACTTTTCTACAATGGGTCAATGAACAGGCGGAAGAAAGGGAGGAGGCCGCTGCCTCTGAGCTAGAAAAGTTAAATCAATCTTGGCAAATCCAGTAACATGCCTCAACCAGGCTACTCTTATCTCTATGTGGTCAATTAGAGGAAAATCTCATGAGGCAAGAAAAGGGAAAAAAAAGAATGATGTAATTTCTTTTATAGCCTCCTTGGCATGATTCATATGAATATTCATTATTACACATGGGAGGTATATGTATTATCAGATCTGGGCTTAAATGTAGAGGCACCTTTGTAAAGAAAGAATAATTTGACATAAACTTTGTATTTGTCTTAAGGAGGAGGTATGAAATATTCAGAGCGTGTATAAATTTGGGACATAGGCATATGCCAGACTGTTTTCAAATGTTTATTTTCTGCTATATATCCATAATTGTCTAATTTTGGCAGTAACTATTTTTGTCTTAAAGTGAAAATTTGCTTTCAACTCAAGTAAAAAGAACTGTCCAATAACTTCAAGTTAATTTTATAATAAGAAATATGTATTAGCTTTAAGTGATATAATTTTTATGATTTCTCTCTTTTTAACTAGAAGTCTATAAACAGACTATGTTTTTGTGTTCATTGCACTAGTTATTTTTATAAAAACAAAGATTTTCCATGTCACATTTTCACGTCTTAGGGGAAGAGATTTTAAAAAGGATTTTAAAGCATTGACAAATATGTGGCAAATTCTATTTTAAACATATTTTTAAAATATCTATTTTACTGATGAATAAATAGAAATTTAAATGACATTTCAAGGTTAGACTAGAACAAGGAAGAAAACTGGGACATACTTTTAAGTTCTCTTTAGTCCCAACCATCTCCTGGATGTCTAGCATCTCTCTTTTGTATGTTACAGGTGGAACCCATCATTATTTTCTCCCAAACCCACTCCTCCACTATTCTCCATCTTGGACTGTGATATCTCCATCCACCCAATTGTTTAGGCAAAAAACTTGGATTCGTCTTTTGTTTTCCTTACTTCACTTACCCATCTTGCAGCAAATCCTCTTAGTTCTACCTCTAAATATGTAAATAGAATGTTTTTGATATCCCATTACATTCATCCTAGTCTGGGGCACCAACACCTCTCACTGGGATCATTGAAATAATCTCCAAATGTCAAATGTGTGCTAAGTTAAATAATTCAGGCTATCTCATTATTATTTTTGCCCCCTACAATCTATTTTCCACTCAGTGGCCAAATGATATTTCCTGAAATAAACAAAAAAACTAAGAACCAATCACTGATCTATCTAAAAGTCCCTGATTTTACAAGAAACCTTCTTAAACTGGCCTATACACCCTGTGTGATCTCTCCTCTGCTTTTCCCTCCTAAGCCCCATCTCTTGAATTCTCTCAGTAGAACAAGTACTTTCTGACTTGTTCATCACTTTATCCACAGCAGAGTGCTGAGCACAAGAGTAGGCACTCGATACATTTATAAAATACATGAACAGATATTTTATATATTTTCTTGAGCGTAAAATGAAGTTCTCCTTTGGTTTTGGTGCTAAGCAGAGCTCAGACTAAATCCTTACGTGTGTGTTCATTTGAGAGTTTGGGACCGATAATCACTGAATGAAAGCTTAGAGCAGTCAGGGCTTGCTTTGCAACCTGTGCTATGTTCCTTTCCTAACATTTCCTGTTGGCTTAGCTATACCTGGGTTCTGTGGTCAATCCTGAGTTAAGACAGGAGTGATTCAAGGACCTGTGTTTTAGGAGCATGTGAATTGACTTGATGGTTCCTTAATACCAGCCCCACCATGACCTTGTGAATTTCTGCCTTATTTCAAAGCCCACGTTCATATCTTGATTCTTGGTTTGGTAACTGAATTTCTGTTTACTTCCTTTTGCCTTGACAACTACTTAGTAATCCCCTTCTTCCAGCTCAAGACCCACCTAAACTCATGTCCACTTGAGTTGACCTGTATTCAACATTGTACCATATTGGACATCACCATAGATCTCTTCTAAAGCTGATTTTGCATCCTAGTTGAGACCCCATAGTACCAAAGCCATCCATAAGACGATGAATGAACAACCATAATGTTGGAACTAAGCCTTTAGAAAGCATCCAAAGCTATTTATGCATAAATCATGTGAAATCTTTCATAAGCAATTAAAAAACAATCACAACAAAATCCCATGGTGTTCAGTATTTCCATATCCAAAATATTCTATCTTCTTTAAAAAAGAAAACCTGAGTGGGGAAAGCTACATGGCAATATATTTATTCCATATGTAATGATTAACAGTATTTAAGTATGGTCCATTTTTGGGTAAGTTATCAATACCTCAAGATCTCCAACTTAAGGGGATTTAAAAGAAACTGATTCTAATGAAGGTTTATGATCTATGAAAAGCTGATGCAGGAAACAAATGAACTTACTTTCAGAGATAATCTTTTTAAGTATGAAGGAAAACCTACCTTGAATTTCTTAATCCCCAGTACCTTCTCTAGAGCTACTGCCCTGACAGAGATAGGAATTTAGGAGGGGATAAAGTGAGGTGTCCTTTCTGATGCGACAGCTTAGATTGTCATCTTACTAGGGTCTGCAAAGCCCTCTCACGCTCAGCAGGAAAATACTGAAGTTAAGTTTTGCTATCCCTTCTGAGTTTTATCAGATTTTCATGCCACAGAGAACTGTGAACAAGCTGGAGAGACAGAGATAAATGAAAAGTCCTTTTGGTGAAGGGAAAAAGCAATCACTACTAGTATTGTAGTTTTTACTTTTCTGCTGATAACAAAAAGAAATGGTTTAGTAATTTGTAGGTAACTATTGTGTCATAAAGGAAACTTAATTTACTTATTTCAAGGATAAATGAATCTCTTTTTTCAACCGTTGACTATTGTTTAACCCTATCATTTTAAGTTTTTATCTCTCTTTCTTGAGGAAAAGCAAAAGAACCCCAAGAAATAACACTTCGGTGCTTGTGTTAGTCTGCTCGGGCTGTCATAACAAAATGCTGTAGACTAGGCAGCTTAAACAACAGGAACTTACTGCTCACAGTTCTAGAAGCTGGAGGTCAAACCTCAAGGTGCCAGCTTGGGTCACTTTCTGGTTAGTGAGAGCTATCTCCTTGGGTTGCAGACAGCCACCTTCGTGATATGTCTTCACATGGTCTTTCCTTAGTGCATGGAGAGAAAGAGAGAAACAAAACAAGCTCTCAGGTATTCCTTCTTAGAAGGCCTCACCCTCATGACCTCAACTAAAGCTAGCTACCTCCAGGGACACCTAGATGGTGTGGTTGGTTAAGCATCCAACTCTTGGTTTTGGCTCAGGTTGTGATCTCAGGGTCGCAGGATCCAGCCTTGTGTTGGGCTCCAGCTCAGCACAAAGTCTCCTTGGGATTTTTTCTCCCTATCCCTCTGCCCCTCTCACTCCTACACGCACGCGCGCGTGCACACGCACTCTCGCGCTCTCTCCCTCTCAAATAAATAAATAAATCTTAAAAAAAATAAAATCTAGTTACCTCCAAAAAGCCTATCCCTAATACTACCATATTGGGGTTTGGGGCCTCAATATATGAATTTGGAGAGGGACATAACTCAGTCCAGAGCATTCTACTTCTAGACCCCCAAAACTCAAGTCCTTCTCACATGCAAAGTCTATTCATTCCATACCCACAGCCCTTAAAGTCCTAATTTATTTTAGCATCAGTTTTAAAGTACTAAGTCTCATCTAAATATCATCTAAGTCAGATATGGACGAGACTTGAGGTATGATTCATCCTGAAGCAAAATTCCTCTCCAGTTGTGAACCTGTGAAACTAGACAAGTTATGTGCTTCCAAAATACAATAGTGAGACAGGCAGAGGAGAGACATTTCCATTTGAAAGGAAGATACAGGAAAGAAGGAAGGGGTAATAGGTTCCAAGCAAGTCCAACACCTAGCAAGGCAAATTTCACTGGATCTGAAGGCTTGAGAATAATCCTCTTTGGCTCAGTGGCCCACCTTCCAGGCCCCCTGGGTTGGCAGCATCACCCCCATGGCTCTGCAGGGTGACCCTGCCCCTTGTGCTTTCTCATTTCCAATAATATGCTCCCATTGTCATCTGAGACTTCACCAGAATCACCCTTCACATCCATATTTCTAGCACCTCAAAACTCTTGCATCCACTATTTATTACCCAGTTCCAAAACTCCCTCTTTGTGTTTAGGTATCTGTTACAGCAGTACTTTTTTACATAAAATAATTTTGAATGAGACCTGAGAAATTACAGTCATCATGATAATTTTAGAAAATTTCCTATTATTCTTTTGTGCCCAGAACCTGGATTTCAAGGAAAATATTTTTCTCCAAATAATAGGATCTGTGCCTTCAGAATGATGTAAAATTGGGGCCACTACTTCTTTTTTATTACCTTATTGATGAGCATTTAAAAATCAAATTAATATGTGCATATAGTTGAATGACTCAATTAATACTATAAGATTTATTTATTTATTTTTTAAAGATTTTATTTATTTGTTTGACAGAGAGACAGTGAGAGAGGGAACACAAGCAGGGGGGATGGGAGAGAGAGAAGCAGGCCTCTCGCCGAGCAGGGAGCCCAATGCCAGGCTTGATCCCAGGACCCTGAGATCATGACCTGAGCTGAAGGCAGTTGCTTAACTGACTGAGCCACCCAGGCACCCCTCCTATAAGATTTATTAAGACCTCATTTCTCCTCCTCAATTTGGAGGAAACTGGTTATGTTAAGAGATGATAATAGTTGGTAAAAGAAGGCAGAGCTATTTCACTCCTGTTTTGTTTCTATTTTCTCTAACATAAACAGTGATCTTAAAATGGGAAAGTACTTATTAAACACATGAAGAATATAGTTTATTGTAGATTAAGATGTAGAGAGAAAACAACAGCCTACTTTAGATGAATTCAGATGTTAAAGCCTTAACAATTTAGGTCTAAGGATGCTGAAGAAACTTTTTAGGTTTATTTTAGAACTCTTTGAAATTCTAAGTGACCACTGAAAATGAGAGAGTGAGAGAAGGAGAGATATGGAGAAAGAGAGTATGTCTATGATGGGTCAATGTCCCTTTTTTTAAGGAGGGAAATGTATGGTTAAATTCTAAAAAGGATTTTCCAAAATATAATTCATGAGCATTTAGAAGCAGAGTGGTCACTAAAAGGCAATCTGATTTTTCTCTTTGTGGGTTCCCAGGATATCTAGTGTATAGGGGAGTATAGTGGATGGCATTGCTTTCTTTCCTCTGCTCTGCTCAAAACCCCAGGTGCCAACATCCTTTCAGCTTCATCCAAGGACTTTGCAAGAAATCTCCTTTCAATAAGTTTGGGAACACATGGTATAGTGATGATACAGCTAGGTTTCAGTAAACCATTTGAAAACATCAGAATATCTTTGTGAATAACATGGAGAAATATAGGCTGAATGATAGTACAGTGCAGTGATCTTGTGGTATTTGAGTAATCATACCTTCTTCCTTCCTTCCTCACCTATAGGAAGATGTCAACCATCAATACAACTGAGTGAATCACAATTGTTAGATTTCAGGCATCAAGGAGGAAATGGGGAGACTTCTTTTGCAAGGGTATTTTTGGCATCCCCTCAAATAATATTAAGTTGGCAACTTCTTGGTTATAGTTTCTGAGGATAGTATCCCTTAAGCAAATACTTTTAAAGCCACAAAATGAGCTTTGCAAAAATGAGAAAAACACAACAAAGGAGTGTTTCATATTTAAGATTTAAATCTCTGTTCTTGGACATGTGCCTAGTTCTAGCAAAACAGCAATATCTATCCAACAAATCCCATACAAACTATCTACAGAAATGTTGATTTTCCAATTGAATTATTAATACGTAATTGAAAAACCACTTTATTCTTCTTATACTTCTTTTTAAACAGCTCTTTAAAAAGTTAAATATGCTGTATAAGTGTCACCTCAGAAAACCTCTCATTTTCACCATGGAAGATAGCTTTATTTTATTGTAATATTTTTACAAATGGCAAAAGGGACATTGCAAAATATGTGAACTGACCAAGATGATATATGAAAAAACTGATATAAGATCACAATTTCTCCTCTTCTTTTCTTGTGTAACTCTCATTAACCTTTTTTCTTAATTAAAACTTTGCTTAACAGATATGTATCTAGGGGACACTGGCATACAGAATGCTT